TTGTAACAAAATAGTTTGTATGAATAGATTTTTGCTGATGAATCATATTCGCTTAAAAAATGTTTAACCCTTGGGGACCGTGGGACATACGTTGTTCCACTTATTTTTCAGTAGAGAAAAACATGTTTAGTTTACATTAAACTATTAAATATGCAAGGTCATTAAGGTCATAGACAACCGTATTAGTCATCTTATAGTTTTCTTTTCTCCTCTCATAGAAATTCTTTTCAAATATCCATTGTTCTTGCTGTTAGGTACAGTAACGTCATGATTTCGCTCTTCTCGTCTGATCTTTTTCTCCAAGAATATTCTCAGTCTCTATTGATTATATATATATATGGGGTTGGTCAGTTTGGCTGAATGTCCCAATGCTTTTTTCTATCATTCGGTTTCTATAATACATCAGAAAAATCTAATTCTTGTAATAGTAATACTACTTGTATAATGCTGATTATCTACCAAGACTAGGAAGTTTATGTCTTGTTTCAAACCACAATCATTAAGTGTCTTTAGAATTACCTGTTGGTAAATATCAAAAGACTTTGGAAGATACTCTATTAGTTTGATTTCAAACAAGAGATAAGCTGTTTCTCTTTGGCAGATTATCAGCATTATATGAGTACTATAACTAGCAAAAAAGTCAGATATTTCTGACATAATATAGAGACTAATTGTTTAAAAATAGCATTGGGACATCCAGCCAGACTGGGCAACCCCATATATATATATATCACAGTCTCTTTCGATAAACAACTATTATTTCTAATTTTTGATCATGTTTAAAAGTCTTATGCATAACTCAGATCTTACTGATATTTGTCAAATTGATTATTTCATTAAATATCCTATCTTTATCTATCAATATTTCCTAAAAAAGAAGCATTCAAAATCCTTTTATTAGATCGTCATTTGAAGCAAAATCAGAACTATCGATATTGACAACAAATATAAAAAAAAAGAATAGTTTGACATGTCGAAAAAATTTTCTATTGAACTCGCGTAAATAAGGGTGTGGGTGTGAATTGGTTTGAAATCAAAACCAATTATATCTCTTAAGCTCTTTTCCATCGTTACAATATAAATAGCGGGAGTAAAAAAGCTTATTACAGTCCCAGCAATAGGCTGGTTGTACAACACAGACTGCAAATCATGCGTATCAATGAAGGAAAATTCCTATACCGTCATTTAAACGTATACATGGCAATATACTGAATGTAGAGCTGTTCTGAGCATGTGAAAACAGAGACATTTGTTCATTTCATTTTTGTAGGTTTCTTAGCGTGATATATGCGCCATAAGGCTCCACTAGTGATATGCGACATAGATCGTACGCTTATATAAAACAAAAGCAAGAAATAATCTTTTCTAATATGTTCATACAGGATTCGATAGAGAACTGAAACAGCTTCATTTTACATATAGATCAGCTGAATATTTGAAACAAAATGAATGGAGTGTTCTACATGAAAACACTCCATAGATTGATCTTTCTGGAGACATAAAATATGGATAAAGTTCGATTAGCTCAATCACTTGGTGCACAGTATAGAATGCATTAAAGAGTCTAATTTTATTAGTTAAAGACTTCTGACAGTCAAAATGACGAAACAAGTAACATAAAATTGAATTTTATGATGGGTACGGACAATTTAGCTTCATAACAATCAATAAATCAATAGCGTTCTTTAGAAACATGTTTGATACACATTGATAGAGATCTCCTATTGATCAGTTTTGCCATGTCAGCTTAGTAATTCCTTCTTTCATTTTGATCAGCGAATCGATCAAGAAGCATATAATTGTAGTTGTCGATAAGAGCGACAGGAACCAAATTCGATAACATGAACTTTAAACATCTCGTACTCGAGTGAAAATCCAAATTAACTGAGAAGAAAACAGTTTCAGAATAAATTTTACTAATAAACACTTTACTTATAACTGGAACTTATTTGGGCTCTGCGGTCTCGTCGCATCAACATAATTAGAATGCATTAAAAGTGACTCAATTCTGTCAGGTGTAACAGATTTCAAAAATATTCACTCGTTTTGATAGAATACAAGCGTGATTATTGCTTAGCAATAAAGAAATTAATTATTTTACTTTAAATTACGTAAAATTAATATCACTTTCAATTTTGATAACATCTGAATAATGAGACGAGAACAATTGAATGAGAAATGGTAGCGGATTCTTACCTATATCGTCATATACTGTGATTGTAATATTCTAAGACAAGATCATAATGATCATGATGACAAGAGATACCAAAGTTATTCTGAGAGAGATTGATGTAAGAACGAATGTAATAGTCGATAACTGTCTTGTGAAAAACTCAACTTTATTCATATGAACCTGAGCTTTTTCTTGTTTCCAAAGTTCTGGTCTTTTATCATATCAAGAAAATACAATATTGTTATATCTTCAATCAGTTATTTAACTCTTGAATATCAAGCCCAATGATTAATACCGACTGGAAACGAGCGAATTATTATTGAGTATCCTGGCGATTAAGCTTTTTGACGTAATCGAATTTATTCATTCAATACAGTACTTTTGATTAAAAATAAGAGCAGAAACTGCAGTTCCACTAGTATACGTTCTTTTCAACTGCTGTTGAAATGTGCGGTAAATTGCAAATTAAAACAGCGCTATTATGTCCTAGTACATCTTCTATTATGAAAGGCACAAATTCGAAAGTCTCATTTAGTTCAAGAAATAAAACCGAAATGATTTATTTATTTTAATAGACAAAGAAAAACAAAAAAAAAGAAAACTGAATCACAACATGAATGTAGCTAATATCTATAATAAAATAAGAATAGTTTCTCGGTGATATCCAACATAAATATATAACCGAAAGACAGTATTGTTTTGTTGATATCGTTTGTTTATTGTGTATACCATTGCAATGAAAAAGAAACAATATAAGTACTTACTTGTATGAATGCTAAGATAGAAAGCTAGGTTTTAATTTTAATTCAATTTGTGGTGATTTTTTTTCACTTCCTAAACAAAGAAAAATTTAAATTTGAATTATTTCTTTTTTCTTTTTTTCGAGCACCTTGATTTAATGGGATATAAGCTGGCATCACATTCGGAAGAAGAGATGATTGTTCATCCGTTCTAATATTTAAAGAAAAAAAAATTCAGATATGAAAAGTAAGAGAAAGATCCCACTTAGAAGAATTTGATTTAGTTTTCAAAATATTATTTTCATTTCGTTTACGTCGATGAGTTAAATGGCATTGTTTACCACGAGGACATTGACCCGTTGATTCAAAATGAGGACATAGTAGAACATGTTGTTTCGAACACTGAGTTTTTTTTTTTGAAATTCAAATATATAAAAACAAAAACAAAAAAGAACAATTTTCATCATACACACCTCAATTCCTTTTGCACAAAATCCTTGAATAAAATCTTCACATACTTGAGCATCATGTCCAACGTAAGAATGCGCATATGGACAATTATCTTGACCACAAGCACCTTTTATAAAATAAGAACATGTTGGAAGCTTGCCCGGTGTTAATTCATGTGAATAAGGACATATAGAATTTTTACAGCGACCATTTAAAAATCTATAAAAACAAAAAAGAAGAAAATTATAAACTTTATTAAAATATTTGATTGACATACTGTGTACAAACAGCAATTCGAGTACGATCATGAATAAATGGACATTTATCACCACGATGACATTTACCAAATCGATTAAAATAAATACAATTTTTTTTCTTTTTCATTGTTGTTAATTTTTTCTTTGAATTTCTTAAACGATACCGTCCATTACTTATTTGAATACTTCGTTGTATGAGAATACTAAATATCAAATAAACAAAATTAATTAAAATTTAGAAGTAATGACAAAAAAAAAGACAAATACTTGGCTCGTGCTATAATTGGATGTTCAACTTTTTTTATTGGAATCGATGATGATAGGATTTTGCTATTATCAGAATCCGAAGCTATAAAACAAAATAAACAATCAGACATTTTTTAATGAGATTAAAATATTACTTAAACGTTGAAGACATTTGCCATTCGGATGAGTATGAAATCTAATACCACGAATACGTACAAGACATTTTGATAATGATGCACGAGGTTTACGTTTCGTTATACGCCCAGTTGTTAAACTTGTTGTTAAGATCTTTCGACGATCAAGTTTAAAACTAAATGTAATTTCAAATCATTTATTTTAATATACAAATAATTAAATAAAATCTTCAGCCCTGAAGAAAAAGTAGCTGCTCCTCACGAAGCGTTATTATTCTTTATGATATTGAACTGCTATTTTGGATGCATGCTAGAGCCCGTAGGATTGATCCCGGATCAAATCGAGTCCACAAATCAAAGTTCGTGACACGTAAACAAGATCTTAGTAATTAACATATTCTGAGATAGTGAGCCCATGCCATTGCTCTAACTCGACTTCATTCAGTGCTGTGATTCTAAAACTTTCAGAACAAACTGATTGTAGACAAAGTTCATATTAGTAAAAACTAGATTTTGCTCGTCAACAGACAATATTTCAGTTATTTCAAAGTAATTTCTAACAAAAATCTTTCTAACCTGTTACTATCTGTTTTTTTCAAACTCGTTCTAATCCATTTGTATTTATTTCCTATACTTTTTGCTACTGTTGTTGATGATCTATCTATGCTTTTTGCTCTAATAATCGTTGGTTTTGGAGTAATAACTTTTGATTCTTGTTTAGTTCCATTACGAATAAATTTAAATTGTGATGTAGGTCGATTAATTAACGATAAATTTGTTTTTGTTTTTGGTATTTTAACAAATGTTGTTGTCGAATGAATAAGTTTAAAACGAGTTTTATGTGAATATGGTTGATGATAAGTAGAAAATTCCATCTATAACAAATAGTAAAACAAAACAAAAAAGTTAAATTTATTTTTTTTTTGTAAGATTTCATTTAACTACACAAATACATATAAACAACTGAAACAAAACATTGATTATTTTATTTCGTGCAAAATTATGGATTACGAATACCAAGTGCTTGTTCTAATTCAACACGTTTTTGTTGAACTTTATTATAGAAATATCGACTAACAGCTTCATATGACCATTGTTCGGTATAATAATCAGCTCTTCGTTCTTCTTCATTGTTTCCAATTGATGAATCTGTTATCATTTTAAGATCACGAGATTGTGATGCTAACCATTTACATATAAAACCTTGAGGATCATCAGCAAATGAAAGATAAAATTCACGAGTTTGTTTTAATTGATTTATACTATCAATATATTGAAGAATCTTAAATAAATAAAATAAGGAAAACACAAACAAACATATTTTTCTTTTTATAGATATTTCTTACTTTCCCATCTAATTCTTCTAATTCATGAATATTTTGTGGTGTAAGAAAAGTTCGCATAGAATCTCGAACTGGATCATCAACTTCAACATCAATATCATAACAAGCATGTTTTTTTGGATCAGTACCAAGACTATTCAACGATAGAAAATAGAAAAATTTCGTATTTTAAATTTATAAAAAGTGTTGTTTTTTTTACCAAAGTGTATGATTGATAATAATAGGTTCTGATGGAAGAATAAGTTTATTAAGTTTACTTGGTAAATCAGAAAAACGAATACGTGGACAATCAAATATCTAAATGAAAACTATTATGAGATTTCAAATTCGAAATCGAAACTTAATTAAGACATGTTTGAGTCTTCTCATTGCATGGAATCCAACTAGTCAAGTCTCTGAACCTTTTCAGAGACGGGTGGTACATATAGTGACTCCCAAATTTATTTGACTAGATTTATTTTTGACGTTTTTTCTTCGCAGCCAACATTAATAAGAATCGAAATAGTGATTTTTGTAGAGAATTCTATTTTCGAAGATGAAAATTATTGCTAGTTTTCTAAGGACAGGATCTCTACAAAATGAAATGTCTCTCAAATTTCTACGACATTTTTCGATCTAGGTACATCAGTTTTACAGACAGCATATGATGAATTTTTTCTTCTAGATTTCGTCTGGAAATGTCATTTTTGTGCTTTTGCATATGCTCATTGTAGTGATATATATCTCATGTTATTTGCTTGATCATGCCTCGTTTCTGAGTCCACGAATTTTTGTCTACAAATAATTTGACAAATATGGTAATTAACGGGATGTAAGAAAAGATTGGCTCTCGACTGATAAACCACCAAGGCTGACGGCTCGTCATTTTCCATCACTAATCAACGGAGAAAGACAACGATGCATCTCTTTTAGTACAACCAAAAAAGAAATAATCTCGTATAAGATACGAATGTTCAGATTGCAATATATAAGCTTATACATCTCAAGTTGTTTTCGCGACTATTATGAAACACAATATAAAAGGAAAGTTGAAGTATTTATGGTAGAAATTTGAACTTCTCACAAACGTAGATATACATACTTGAACATTCCTTTTAGATTGTATTTCACAAAAATAATTCTCTTGTACAAAGATGAATCTATTCTTTCATCTCATATAGAAAAAATTTAATTACTGAAATCAACAATTTTTTATAGATCTATTTAAAAGAACATTATTCCTAAGAATAGTAATAGTATCGTTCGAATTTCAAAACAAACCAACCGATTGTAGATGTACATCACAATGAATATATTCTCGTTCTTCAGAATCTTGTAATTTATGTGTTTTAATATATTGCCAAAGAGCATGAATAATTGTTTGACGTGTACCGTTACTTATTGAAAGTAGACGAGCAAGACGAGCATCAAGTCGAAATTGTGGTGGCTGAATAAAGAAAAAAACTTACTAATCAAAGACAAATCAATTAAATAATCTTACTGAATGATCAAGAACCATTAAAATTGTACATTTAACATTTTGATCACCTGCACGACGAACTTGAAAACCATCAGTTTCAGCTGTAGCATTTGTTCGATGCCACTAGAAATTCATTTTTTTTTAAAGTTAAATTCATTGAAAAAAACACTTCTTTACAAACCTCAACAAGATGATTATCGGGTCCATATAAATCTTTATCTAATTCAATAACAAGACTACGAAAAAAAGATGAAAATTTACGTTTTGTTTTTCCTTGATCATATTTATTTGTACTAGGCTAATAGACAATTAATAACTATAATGTGTTTTTTTTTGTATTACTATATTTATATTTAACTTACATCATCAAGTAAACGACCTTCAACACGCATCTCCCAATATTGAACTTGTTCATCATCAATAGTCATTGTATCTGAATCAAAACGAACTGGATACTGATGACTTATAAATATTCGTAATTTCTTTTTGATCTTAAATAACAATAACAAAAAAAAAAAGATTAATTTAATAGATTAATGTTGCTTTTGTTTTCGAGTACTTTTTGTGGTCGTTTAAGTATTTCTTGTAAGTCAAGTCGTTTTCTCATTAAAACACTATCTAATTTTTGTTCAAGACGTAATAATTCAATATAAGCTTGAGATTCCGGTACAAGTGAACGTATTTGTTTATGAATAACTTTTTCTGTTAAACGTTTACGTTTTTTTCTAGAATAGAAATTCATATAAATAAAATGATTGATTTAAAATTTATTTACTGTTGTCTAATCGGACCAGTGCCACCCGTTGCAACAGTATTAGGCATCATAATTTGATTTGGACCTACAACATTTCCATATGGTATTGGTGGTTGTTGTCCTGCTTGAATCATTTGTTGTGGACGAAGATCAGTTGGATAACCTGGACGCTTACTTTTATCATAAAGTGTTGCACGATTATTAATTCCATATGGACTACCAACTGGTCGAGCCATCATAGGTGATTGAGGTGATTGTTGTTGTTGTTGAATCATTGATGCTTGCAACGGTGATGGTGCTACCATAGGACGCATGGGTGGAACACCAATTGCCGTATTAGGTTGAGGGATAGGAGCAGCATTCATCATTGTAGGAGGACGTTGCATTGGTGATGGTTGTTGTTGTTGTTGCATCGGATTGGAATACATGGTGTTTTCTTTTTGACAGGGAAATACGTCAGATTGTAATTGCACTAAAGAAGAGGATCATTGTTTACGCTTCGATTTCATTCGTTAATAGGTTTGTGCATGCGAATAAGTCGATCAATAGAGGGCACGAGAAGTCGGAAGTCAATGATCTAAAGGATGTAATTCTTTGTCTGCATAGGTTTAATACTCAAATCAAAAACAAATAGCAATCATTCAATAGTTTTAAACGAAACAATATATCAAGCTTTATGAACAATAAAGACCTGAATTCAAACATATTGAGGTTTGTTATAAACATCTGCTGTCGCTCTTAAGAAGTATCAAAGACGTCAGCGATTTTGAACGTATTATAAATATGACATCTTGAATTATCAATCAAGCATAATGGTTCACATATTGATTAAATATAATTTTTCTCAGTATTCAATGAACGAAAACGAGATATTACGGCATCAATTAAAAAAGTTATATCTGTTGATTAACAATTGGCAAAAACAAATGATTAATTATCGATGAATCCTGTTGAAAGACACAATCAGTCACCATACAGCGGATTCCATAATCATTCAACGAGATTTATTTTCAGTTGTTTTTTTTCTTCTGCTCTAAGTGCTAGACAAAATCCAAATAGTGATTCAAATACAGAAAATTGTTTTCAAAAGGAATATAAAAAAATAAAAATTGTTATTAGACTTCGAAAGACAGGAAGGGCAAGTGAGTATAATTTTGTTTTAACAGCATAGAACAATAGATCGAACAATTCTATACAAAATGAGAACTTTCCAAACTCTGTGTCATTTTCTTTTAACGGGAATACAGTAATTTTTCAGAAGTCGCTAAAGTCATTTTTATTCAATTTTCTATAGAAAAGCCAATATTTTTTTGCTTTACCTCAGCCACATTCGAATCACTACTTTAATTCTTTTTTATGCTTACGATAACGGAAAAAAATTAAAATAAACCTTGTTGAATAGTTTTGATACTCTTGTATGTACTTCTTTTAGAGCTTTTCAGAATTGTTAATCTGTATATACTTTACAAACCTTTCTAAAGTGTAATTCTATCGATGGAAATAATAATCGATCAGTTACTATTTTGCAAAAGCTAATTTGAATGACATCCAAGATAATCAACACAGAAAGTTTATTTAAAATTCATTATCACAATCGATAAACCATCAAAGGTGTCAAACAGAAGCGTTGTTTATTTTCTTTTATCTTGATCTTGCGATTAATTATGCATCAACCTATTTCTATTTCAGAGTATACGAGATATTCCATGCAGAAGCAATTCATCTTTTATAACGGTTAATAAATAGATTCGAGCATCATGACTCATTTAGAATTTTTATGCACAAACGATCATTTAAAAAAACGAGATATTTTATATCGATGTTGAAAAAAGATGTTTTCTTTTTATTAATATATGCGTATAGAATCACGATGACATGAAGCAAAATCAATAGATTCAATTAATCGAAAAGAATGCTATAATAATAATAAAAATTGTATGGATGGATGAAAAATAATTTTTTTCTCATTTTCTGTGAAGTAAGCATGTAGGAAAAAAATGTTCTTTTATTTCTTTAACGTTGAATATTTACTATTGAAGTTCTTTTTTATCAAAGATATATTCGCCAAGACCAGGACCAACACGTCGTAAGTTAGTAATATAACGAGCATATTTTTCAATGGATTCAACCTAAACAAAATGAAAAGAATAAAAAAATTTCAAAACTAAAATATTTCATTACTTGTTCATCAAGAAATTCTTCTTCAAGATAATCGGTAAGATGTGGATCACTAGAACAAAGAAAAAACAAAGAGATGATAGAATCAACATTAAAAATTAATTGATTATCATACTTATGTTTAGAAGCAGTTGCATGTAATTCAAGTAATGCTTGATAAACATCCTTTTCCAATTGTAATCCCATTTCATGAGCTTCCAAAGGTGAACTCCAACTTTGTTGTTGTGGTTTCTAAATTTAGGAAAAAAACATTGTTTTTATCATAATAACAAAAAAACAAGATAGTAATGAAACCTTGATATCTAAAAGTACAATAGTACCACCACGTTTATTTTGATATTCCATAAGTTTATTTGCATGTTCACGTTCTTCTTTTGACATTTTTTCAAAAAATTCATGATGACCTAAATTATAAAAATTCTCTTGAAAAAATATCATTTTCATTTTTCATCTTACCCTTTAAAGCAACATCTGCACGATCAAAATGATGTGCCATAGCCATATAAACATAGCTGGCATATAATTCCAAATTGATCTGACGATTGATCAAACCTTCATTGTCTTCATGATAATTACTGAAAAATAAAGATAATTTCTAATAGGAAAAAATATCAAAAATACATACTATCGAACCAAATTTTCCCGTGGTTGATTTGTTGCAACTAGACCTTGTTGTTGTATTTCATTTTTTTTGTCCACCGACATAATTGTAAATAACTATTTTTTTTTGTTGAAATATATAAAAGAAAACCTATTTGAGAGGTACAATAACAGCTTAATAAATACGATTCGTAACGAACAGTCACAGCTGCTGCAAAACAAATCGACCTACTAACTGAAGGAAAGTGACAACAAACATTCCTATTTAAACAAAGAGCGAAGGAAAAAAAAATGAGAGAAAGAAAGAGAACAGTACAACGTAAGAGAGAGGTTTTTTCTTTTTCTTCGAGCATGACTTATCGAAGTGTTTCTTCGGACATTGGGGTTATCAGAGAATAAGAAAAATAGAGCGACCCACTACTATTACATAACAGTTGTAGACATTTAAGAAAAGAAATATTGAATAAGAAAAATATATATGAAAGAGAACAAGCACACATCTGTCGACAAGGAAACAAAGAATGATATAAAAATAGTTTGAAAATGTTAAGAAACCAATAGTGAGAGTAACGATTAAAAAAATAGAATAAGACATTAGTGCACGTGTTCTTCCGCGTGGCTAAGGATACATAAAAACAAAATCAACATTGTTTTCAATATAAGGTTAGTCAGGTACATTTCATCCTACAAAAAATGAATGTCATATGCATTTATAGGTTTTTAAGTTTGTGTCTGAATATAGTATATTATGCGAAAAGTCAGGAAAAATCCACACAATCTAGAAAGAAGTATTTATTAGCATTGAACTTTGATGTTCTTGAAAGTTATTAGTAAAGAATAAACAACCAAAATCGAATACTTGAAAGTTTTTTTTTTCTTAACAAAAATGCTATTTTCATTTTGTTGATTAAATAATCTAAAATCAAAACGTGTTATTATTATCAGATATTGTTATCATCAATTGTTTAAGACTAATATTTGAATATAATATTTTGTTTGACGATCGTTGTTATTATTCTCAATGCTCAAAAAAAAAGCAGTGTGTCCATATTTGTGTAACAAGCAGTGGAATCGCAAAGGATTACACTTCACAAGATTTTTAAAAATGTATTTTATCATCGATGAAACTTTAGGTGATAGTATTTGATTTGAACATTTCTTGATCTAACGAGAGAACGTTATCAATTCACCAAATCTAGTGAATTATTGATTATCAATCATGCTGATCTCGAATATTACTATAAAAAAGTTTCCTTAGGTCGTTATATATTTGTTCTTTTAAACTAACGAATAATTTGCCAAAATCGTTTGTGCTCTACTCAGATTATAGAACCTATAAAACTGTCATTGAGTGAATAATCTTATATTATATGAATTAAAATGGCTGTATTATCTGCAGAAAATAACGATTTGAAACAGACAAATTTAATAAGTAACTCAATGTACTCTATAATCTGAACAGATCAAAAAAAATTCGGCAAAAATTTTGTTAGAATGGAAAAATCAGGATATAGAAACCTAGGGAGATTTTTTTATGGGTGTATTCGAAATCAACACGATCGATGACATAGCAATTGGTCACTAAATAACGTTGCTTCGTATATAGATCAACACTTTTAATATAAATTTAGCTTTTTCTTCCTATTCAATCGGATATAAATGTAAATATTGTGCTTTTTTCTTTCAGTTATTGTTCAGGCGAATTGAGAATCATTAATTTTATTTTTATTGTAATTACAAGATAGGTTGTTCCAAAAGTAGGTCAAGAAACTAAAACTTGATTAATTCTTCAGCAGTTCATTCAATGTACAAGAGTCTTTTCTCATTGGATTTCATATTAATCAAACTTTTATTCAGCATACTTCAGATAAAATAACTGACCCTAAGAACATAAGAATAAAAATTGTTCTAGTCGTGGCTAAATTTTCTCTAAATACTTTTGTAAAATTGATATTGTTATAGATTGAATACATTCTGAATGTCTGAGAATGATGACATAAGTAAAAATCACTGAAATTTATGTTGGTAGCGAAAGTATTATCGACATCAATTCTTCTGGCAATTTGCAAAGAAACAATTTTATGAAATCTCTTTTATAAAACGAAGTAAAAAGCAGAAGTTTAAGGCGTCTGTAGTCAGTATTGAGATCTGCACGTTTCATTTATGTTCGATCAAGTTGATTGTTGACTGAAGGTAAATCGACACCCGCAATTCTTCTCCTGCACTCAAAAGTTTAAGACAGTTTTCTTTGTGAGCGCAGTTTTTGTTTGTATATCAAATTAAAAACAAAAATTCAACTATGTTTTTGATTTGTTATACTTATATTCCGATGCAATCGATGGCTCTGTACCAGTCTGGCCTTGATTTATTTAAAATATCTAAACAAGTAAATACATCGCGTTCTTGCGTGCGAAATACGATTATCAAATTGAACAAATTCGTATATTTGAAGATATGAAATGGTCTTGTCGACCAAAAGCTCTTTCTAAATGAAATGTATACAAGCTAAAATATCTGATAACAGATGCTAATCGCTTAAGTGCGGTGAAAATTACGTCAAATTTAAACGCCAGCCGACCAAAGACAGTATTAAAAGACACTGTAAGTCGTTGTCCCAAGAAACTTGGTTATGAATATGCCGTCGATATTA